GTCCAACTCTCACATCCACACATGACCACTGGAAAAATCATAGCCTTGGCCAGACGGACCTTTGTTGGCAAAGTAACGTTTCTGCTTTTTAATATTCTATCCAGGTTGGTCATAACTTTTCTTCCAAGGAGTAAGCGTCTTTTAATTTCATGGCTGCACTCACCATCTGCAGTGATTTCGGAGCCCCCAAAAATAAAGTCTAACACTGTTTCCACTGTCTCCCTGTCTATTTCCCATGAGGTGATGGGACCAGATGTCATGATCTTAGTTTTCTGAATGTTAAGCTTTAAACTTCAGACTTTTTCACTCTCCTCTTTCACTTCCATCAAGAGGCTTTTGAGTTCCTCTTCACTTTCTTCCATAAAGGTGGTGTCATCTGCATATCTGAGGTTACTGATATTTCTCCCGGCAATCTTGATTCCAGCTTGTGCTTCTTCCAGCCCAGCGTTTCTCATGATGTACTCTGCATATAAGTTAAATAAGCAGAGTGACAGTATACAGCCTTGACGTACTCCTTTTCCTATTTGGAACCAGTCTGTTGTTCAACGTCCAGTTCTAACTGTTGCTTCCTGACCTGCATACAGGTTTCTCAAGAGGCAGGTCAGATGGTCTGGTATTCCCATCTCTTTCAGAATTTTCCACAGTTTATTGTGATCCACACAGTCGAAGGCTTTTGCGTAGTCAATAAAGCAGAAATAGATGTTTTTCTGGAACTCTCTTGCTTTTTCTATGATCCAGCGGATATTGGCAATTTGATCTCTGGTTCCTCTTCCTTTTCTAAAACCAGCTTGAACATCTGGAAGTTCTCGGTTCACGTATTGCTGAAGCCTGGCTTGGAGAATTTTGAGCATTACTTTACTAGCATGTGAGATGAGTGCAATTGTGAGGTAGTTTGAGCGTTCTTTGGGATTGCCTTTCTTAGGGATTGGAATGAAAACTGACCTTTTCCAGTCCCATGGCCACTGCTGAGTTTTCCAAGTTTGCTGGCATATTGAGTGCAGCAGTTTCACAGCATCATCTTTCAGGATTTGAAATAGCTCAACTGGAATTCCATCACATCCACTAGCTTTGTTCGTAGTGATGCTTTCTAAGGCCCACTTGACTTCACATTCCAGGATGTCTGGCTCTAGGTGAGTGATCACACTGTTATGATTATCTGGGTCGTGAAGATCTTTTTTGTACAGTTCTGTGTATTCTTGCTACCTCTTCTTAATATCTTCTGCTTCTGTTAGGTCCATACCATTTCTGTCCTTTATCAAACCCATGTTTGCGTGAAATGTTCCCTTGGTATCTCGAATTTTCTTGAAGAGATCTCTAGTCTTTCCCATTCTATTGTTTTCCTCTATTTCTTTGCATTGATTGCTGAGAAAGGCTTTCTTATCTCTCCTGGCTGCTCCCTTAAAGAGAAACACCTGATCACTATGCAACTTCCCAAGTTCTTCTCCTTAAGAAGTCACAGCAACTGCATTCATTACTAATGGAGCTTGTGACTCAGTGGTTACATCACAAAAAGCCTTTTCATTTTAGAATTCTGTCTGTCAGACAGGAGATGGTTGAACTTTATCTGTAAATCATTTATGTAATCATAATAAATAATGACTTTCACTTTTCTTCTGATTCAGTGCTCCAGTCTGGATACAAAAATAATAATAGCTGTTTTTTACTGAATGCATACTACATTTCAGTCTGAGTCAGCTCTAGGTTTCCTTTAGACTTTTGGAAACTTCGTGACTACTAAAAAATTTACCTTTTCTCCTTTGTTTCCTACATCTGAAATGAAACTAAGCAGTAATACTTAACTTTTCCTCTATGTTGTCTGTTGTAAGGAATGATACTATTGTACATTCATTCCTTCAAGTCAAATATGAATTCATCTAGACTCCTTTCTCTCCTCCCCATATCTAATTGGCCACTGTCTTATCAGTTTAAAAAATCTATGCAGATTTTTTTCTTTCCATCTCTATGTCATTTACAGTAGTTGAAGCTTTAATCATTTCTCAGTTCTTTCAATATATAGTTGAACGTCTTCACTGGTTTTTCTGACTGCAGTTACCCCTTCCTTCAATCTGCTCTTCCCATAGTTATCAATATTGAATGCAGATAAGAATGATCTGGTCTTGTCAGTTCTGTAATAAAATCTGGTCTTGTTAGTTAGGTAATAAAAACCCTTCTATCATTCTCCATTATTTTCAAGATAAAGCCAACTTCCCAGTCACGACATACAAGACCCTATGTACGACTTCATTGGTTAACACAGATGTGTTTTAGAATTCAGAAGTTTTTGGACTCTAGAAAGTCGTATGATGTACATAACACATAACATCCTCTGTGCGTTCTGGGTCAGCACTCTGTAATCAAGTACATATTTCTGCATCAAAGACTGATTGTTTACACCAAGAAGAATAAATACTATAAATAGATTATTACCAGTTCAGGTTATGTTTTGCTGCCATATGAGTTACAGGAAAATGTTTAGTTTGGGGAACTTTTTGGATTTCAGAATTTTGGATAAGAGACTGTGGCGCTGTATACCCAGTGGTCTATTGGAGCTGGATTGCCTCAGCTGTTTGTTGTTCAGTCGCTGAGTCATGTCTACCTCTTTGCGACCCCATGGGCTGTAGCATGCCAGGCTTCTCTGTCCTGGAGCTTGCTCAAATTCATGTCCATTGAGTCGGTGATTCCATCCAACCATCTTGTCCTCTGTTGTCCCCTTCTCCTCCCACCTTCAATCTTTCCCAGCATAGAGCAACCTTTTTTGTACATCTCTTCTCAACTCTGTGGTTGATGATATTATGTTGGTAGCTTGAAATTAGCCATAGTGGGAGTATTTACACCATTGTGTGCATATGTGTTCATTGTCGCTCAGTTGTGTCCAGCTCTGTGACCCAATGGACTGTAGCCCACCAGGTTTCTCTGTCCGTGGGATTATCCCCAGTGGGTTGGAGTGGGTTGCTAATTCCTCCTCCAGGGGACCTTCCCTACCCAGGGATCCAACCGACGTCTCCTGCTTTTCTTCTTTGGCAGGCGGATTCTTTACCACTGAGCCACCTGGGAAGCCCTTTTTAATAAAACATTGCCCTGCGTTATAGTCTGGTAGAAGGATAAGATAACTGGACAAGGAAGCCAGCTACTTAAATGCAGGAAAATTAGGAGGCTTTTCTAGTAATCTGGGTGAGAAATGATGGTGACATGAACTAAGGTTAGTGGCGGTAAGACTAGTGGGAGAGATTTTCCTATTCAAAGATAGAGCCTCCAGCACTTGAATAATCTGGGAGTGATCTTGCTTTCTCCCTGTCTCGTCCGAGATCTCTGGGTTTGCTTTTTAGACAGGTGGTGGTGCCATTTATCAAGGTAAGGTGTACATATCTCATGCATCCAACCTGGGCTGGTGATCTGTTTCACCCTTGATAGTATACTTGTTTAAATGCTGTGCACTGGGAAGACCCAGAAGGATGGGATGGAGAGGGAGGCGGGAGGGGGGATCGGGATGGGGAACACATGTAAATCCATGGCTGATTCATGTCAATGTATGGCAAAAACCACTACCATATTGTAAAGTAATTAGCCTCCAACTAATAAAAATAAATGGAAAAAAAAAAAGATAAGGTGTACATGAAGAGGAATAGATTTTGAACAGAAGATGAGGGGTCCAGTTTTGGACCGTCTTAGTGTTTGGGTGTGTGCAGGGTATGTGGGTAGGGTGACCATATAATATATCATACAAACTTGGATATTTATGGGTGTGAGTGTCATGTGCTGTTCATTATTAAGCTGGGGGCAATTGATAAAAATTGGACCTGTCCTAACATACTAGGATGTTCTTCACTCAGGTAAAAAAAATATCAAGAAAAGATCATAGAGGTGAAGCCATACCGGGAAAATATATAGAGTGAAGAGAGCAGTGGAGTCCTGGAGAAATTTTTGAGAGAGAAAAGAGAAGGTGGCCGTCAAGACAGGGAGGAAACCTGGATCTAGTAGCCTCACAGAATCCCAGGGAAGAATCATTTTATTTTCTCTTGTGTATTTTTGAAGGAGTGTAGCTCCTTTGAGGGATTCTTCATTAGATGATGTTTATCTTCAGTGAGAGTTTGAAAACTTAAAGGAAAAGGTTTTTTTTAACCATTTATTAGAATACTGTGTTTGAATGACTTCTAATGTATTATGATATTAATATAAAACTCTTTTAGGCTTTTTTTTTTTTGCCACTATTGTTTGATAGTCATTAGGCCAAAATCTCCTAGTTCAGATACAACTTAAATACAGATGTCTTTTTATATTATATTTTGCATTAATATCATGAGTTTTTGGTCAAACATAGTATCACTATGGGCTTAAAGTAAATTTCTAGGTCAAGAGTTAGAACGCATTTATTTTGTAATAGTAAAAGTCATAAAAGCACTTTTCTTCCTTATAAAATGGAGTTCTTTAGGAAATCAACAGAAAAATAAGACATAGGAATCTTTTGCATTGTTAGTGGATAGTGGTTGACTATTTTCCCCCTCATATTTTATTATGAAAAATTTCAAACATACAAAAAACTGAAAGAATTATATCCACCAGCTACAATTAACATTTTGCTGTATTTACTTTTTCACATAATATGTCCATCTTTCTGTCCCTTTGGTCATCTTTCAATCAAGCCATCTTATTTACCTGTGTTTTTTAAATTTATTTCAAGTAAGTTGATCACCTGTTTTTCTGAGGATCTTATGTTATTTTTTTCTGAATGTTGTAATTAAAGTGTCAATAATACATTTTTTGCAGATGTTTTCAGCTGACCCTTTTTCCTATTTCTAGAAATCTGAGATTGCCAATAATTGCTGTCAAATTGAGAACATTAAAAAAAAATGTCTAGTAAATAATGTTAAGCCTGAAAAATGTGCTCTTTTTCAATAGCTTTGTAATCCAGAGACTTACAATTTTTAAAGTCATCAAAAATAATTTCCAGTACTGTTTTTGATATTCTAAATACATATTTATTCACATTATATTGTTTTCAGAGTGGAGAGATCTACAGACCAAGTCATCAAGCCAGTCAATATGGGCGCTCTGTCAAAATGGGTTGGGAAGATACCTTCAGATGTTTTACAAGACATGGCAGTGATTGCACCCATGCTTGCCAAACTGGGATATGACCCATATGCCAATCCACCTAACTATGGAAAACCTGATCCCAAAATTCTAGAAAACACCAGAAGGGTAAGTGAGGACTTGAAAGTGAATTGAGAAAACTGGGTATGGAATTTGGATCTGGGGAAGTTTTTTCTTGTTTTATTTCTTGCTTTTTTTATGACCAGAAAATTATTTTAAATTAGAAAAATCCTCTTTGTAAAATGCTTCATTGTCAGAAATCTTCCACTGAATTTTAAGGATAACTGTGGCTCTTTCCAGGGACTGTGGGGACAATTCTTCAATCTCTCTTTTCCCATTTTCTAAGAATAGGGCTTACTGTTGGAGAGATTTATTCTATTAGCTGATTATCATAAACTGGCCTAAACACCAGAATTGTTAGTGACCTCACTTATAGTTTCTTTTTACTCTGAATCTAATGGCTGCTTTACTTTGGTTAGATGAGGCATGATTTCTTGGCATTTGAAAACTGAGCATTGACTACATGAGAAGAATTATTATAAATAGGTACAATAAACTACCCTCTGATTGAGAGAAAGTTGCTAGTAAAGTGTTACTACAACTATATCTTTTAATAAATTATGCTCACATCTTTATAATCTTATTTGAGGAAAGTTCAAAATTCAAAAAATCTGAATATATACCTTACCTCTATAATCTATTTCAGATCAGATCTTAATGTATTTTTTTATTGTGGTAAAATTCAAATAACAAGATTTACCATTTTAACAATTTATACAATTCAGTACATTTGCATTGTTGTATGGCTGTCACCACCATCCATCTCAGACTTTTTTCATCTTTCCAATTTGAAACTACATACTCATTACACATTCCCCCTTTCTCCAGCCCCTGGCAGCCATAGTTCTACTTTCAATCTCTAGATTTAGTCTTTTTTGAAACTACAGTTTAAATAAGACAACCATGTTAGTGTAAGTCACTGATAGGCTATTTGATTATCAAGATTAAAATTTCTTGCCTTTTTCTGGTATTCTCTTTTTATGCAGTGTTCTCCCCTCCCCACAGTCTTATATCATCTTTTTATTCTGTCCTCCTTTTGATACTTTTAGTTGACTAACTTATATTTCATGAGGCTGATTTCCATGTGGATTTTTTACTCTTAGATGTTACTTTTGTTTTCTTTTTTCAAGTCATTAGTGGCTATTTGGAAAGAGCTGTTTTCTTATAAACCATCATATAAGGAGGCAGATATTTTTAGTTTTAAAATTATCTTTATCCTTTTAATATTTTTCATATATATAAGCATTATTATAAAAGTATAAGCTCAGTTTATAAAATTTATAAAATTAAAAAGATAGGAAAAAATTCACCTATAATGTTAGCACCCAGACAAATGCCATTTTTAGTATTTTGATGAATTTCCCTTTCTTCTGTACATGTTAAACAAAGGTAAGATTACATAACTTTTAATCTTACTTTTGCACACACAAAATCTTGTATCCCACCCTTTCCACTAAGTATTCATGAGCATTTTCTCGTTGTGCACATGTTTTTTAACATGATTTTTCATGGTTGTATAAATAAATCATTATACAAACCACTTTAAATCCTTTTGAAACAAAGTAGTAAGTGAATGAATGATTTAAAAGTGAATGGATGAATGAGGTTTCCCTAGTTTATGTTATATAATTCATTTCACTGTTTTTCTTTTGTTGTTTACAATTTTCTCTTTGGCAAACAGTGCTGCAATAAACATCTTTGCGCATACTGCATTTTACTGGGTTCTTTTTTTAAAGGTTAGAATAATGAGAGTGGAATTAAACTATGTCAGAGTATCTAAAATTTTAAGGTGTATGATATATGTTGATAAATTTTTAAAAATCTTTTGAACTACCAGGGTAATATAGGTGATTTTATTTTATAGATTTTTGCTAATTTTAATAGGCTTCATTGATTAATATAATCGAACATTTCCAGTTACTACCTACATGCATATATTCTTTTATGAAACTATTTCCTAAGTTTAAAAAAAATTTTATGTGTGTTAAAAGTTTTGTTAATTATATTCTGCTAAAGACAGTACACAGTCCAGCATCCATTATCATAGTCCTTTTTAATCTCTTGGTAATTGGTAATTCACAGCTTTTGCTTTTGTACATACTAAAATGGTTTTTATAAACCAAGGTACATGTATAAATGATATTTAGAGGTTTCCCAAGCAGTAGATATTATAGTTTTCCTACATGTGAGTTGGCTGGTTAGACTGTTTTTGGCTTGCTTGAGTGGTTAAGTAGGGAAGAATGCTGTGGTTTGAATCCTTGTGACTAGACAGTTTGTTTCATACACTTTTGTGGCTTTTGAAGAGTTTCAAAGTATACACTGGAAAAAACCTCCCTCCCCAATCCTGTCTATCTCTAAAGTAACAAATAATTTTGGGAGAAACAAGATAAAGTGTGAACCATTGTTGCATTTTTGAGCTTTTTGTGATAAAGCATACAAGCCAACATCCTTGTTTTGTGGAGTTTTTCAAAGCTATATATTTTCAAGGCTTTTTTCTGTAAAAGCTCAGATGCTAATATATCCAGCACTGATGATCATGAAGTTTCATAACATAATGCTTAAAAATTGATCTTCACTTGTCAGCTGTGACATGAGATTGACTCCAGAGAAAGAAGATGGCTGGGGAGATTGTGCCCTTTATTTATGGGATGGGAGTAGGGAAAAATTCACGTTTTGGCAGGGAATACAGAATCCAAAGTTCTAGGCCTAAAAATTATGTTTTTCATACAACTTTGGATAGTCTAGAAGTATTGGTTTCTGAGTCAGTGTATTTTGGAGACATGTTGCTCAATTTTGGATAGAAAATCATGTGCTTCATGGCTGCTGTGACTCAGATGGTAAATTGGAAATGAAATGCTAACATATTCCATGTCCTTTCCCATCACTGAGGTCTCTAATCCCAAAATTGTAGCACGTTTCAGTAAATAGCGTCCTCTAGGTTACTTTGCAGTAGTCTCCCTCCCCATGTTATGTTCTAGCAATCTCCTTGCCCATGGGTTTTTAATCTTTTTAGATTTATAGACCTTTGAGATCTGATAAAACTATGGGTCCCTGTCTGAGAAATAAGACAACATATATATAGAGAGAATTTTATTCTGTAATTTTAATGGATTCATAGATGCCTCTAAAGCCCATCAGAGTAAGAACTTCTGTTTTATAGTCTCCTTGAAAAACTCATTCACTCGTGTGACTTTGATTACAGTTATTTGCTGATTATCATAAATCTGTATCGCCTAGGGTCTCTTTCTTGAGCCCCAAGCTCATTTTTTCCAGCTGCTTTCTGTATCTCTCCACCTGGTTGTTCACAAGGATCTCAAACTCAATGTCCAAAATGAATTTATTGTCCATACCTGTTTCCTGATAGAAGCTAGACAGATTGTTCACTAAACTGAGCAAGAATCTAGAATAGGGGCTAGACTAGGCTGTGTTTATCTATATTTGCACTGTCTATTTTGAGCCAGGGAGCAGAGTCCTCAGGACACATGGGTCAAGCCCCAAACAGAGCAGTAACAGACCTGGTTACTAAACCTGAAGAGTGAGCTGAAAAGCAAATCCAAGTGTGAATGGAATATCCAGTTGAAAACCAGACTAGATAGTACTAAGGAAGAACAAATAGTCAAATAGAAAAGCATGTATCAGTGTACAGAACCCACAGAGCAAGCAAGAAGGAACTTGAATATTAAGTTAGCTGGGAGAGGGAGTTGGTTTATATGCCTGAACCAAACAGTAAGGGCACCCAAAGCCAGTGCTCGGTGACATCCTGGAGGGATAGAGTAGGGAGGGAAGCAGGTGGGGGCTTCAGGATGGAAGGGACACAGGTATACCTACGGCCAGTTCATATTTATGTATGGCAAATACCATCACAATATTGTAAAGTAATTATCCTCTAATTTAAAATAAATAGTTTTTTTTTTAAAAAAAGGATGCACTGAAAAAAAGAGAAGCTACAGCTGTTGGAATCAATGCTCTTGCATTAACGGGAGAGCCTGTAATGCACACCTGTGTTTTCCAGTTCTTCTACCCAGCAAAAGCTTCCTCTCTCTGTTTTTCTTATCTCCATGCATAGCGTTTCTGTTTGTCTGGTGATCAAAGTTAGGATTACCTAGCTTTGCAGATGACTTGTAATTCATTAATCACCAAGCCCCCTTGACTATATATTTGAAATTATCTTGACTCAATTGTTATTTTAGCTACCTTACTTATTTCAGTTTCTCCTCATTTTTCACATGAATTATGGTTTATTCCCCTTTGTGCATGTGAGTGTATTCATTCTTCTACATTTAAAAAAATATTCAATGACAGTTACTTTTTTAAAAGTTCAAATCTGAATGTATCTGAACATACTATTCCCTTGTGTAAACCTTGAATAGCTCCACTAGTACTATAGGATAAAGCCCAGACTTCGTTTTTATTTTTATATTTATTTTTTAAATTTATTTTTTCTCTCTTTTTTTTCCTTTTTTTAAAATATAAATTTATTTAATTGTAGGCTAATTATTTTACAATATTGTAGTGGTTTTGCCATACATTGACATGAGTCCGCCACAGGTATACCTGTGTTCCCCATCCTGAACCCCCCTCCCCCCCCCTCCCCATCCCATCCCCCTGGGTCATCCCAGTGCACCAGCCCAGAGCACCCTGTCTCATGCATCCAACCTGGACTGGCAAATCATTTCACATATGATAATATACATGTTTCATTCAATGCCATTCTCCCAATCATCCCACCCTCGCCCTCTCCCACAGAGTCCAAAAGACTGTTCTATACATCTGTGTCTCTTTTGCTGTCTCGCATACAGGGTTATTGTTACCATCTTTATAAATTCCGTATACATGCGTTAGTATACTGTATTGGTGTTTTTCTTTCTGACTGACTTCACTCCGTATAGTAAGCTCCAGTTTCATCCACCTCATTAGAACTGATTCAAATGTATTCTTTTTAATGGCTGAGTAATATTCCATTGTGTATATGTACCACAGCTTTCTTATCCATTCATCTGCTGATGGACATCTAGGTTGCTTCCATGTCCTGGCTATTATAAACAGTG